TGATAAGCATTTTTCAGTCTCTTCGTCAAGAGGCACTTCGAAAGAGAGTGTTTTGAATGAAATACAATTATGGCAATACAATTTTTATCTATTTGTCGAATCGATTAAAAAAGAAAAAAAATATTCAAAGAGTTGATCGAAAGAGGAAAAATTCATTTCTATTGAAAGATTATTTTAATTTAAAGAAAGAAGAAAAAAAAAAATAAATAAATAAATAAAATAAAATAAAGAAATAAAAAGATAGAGATTATGTGTATGCGTTCATAAATAATCGTAAAAGAGAGATTTATAAGCTTTCTTTTTTCTTTCTATTTTTTCCTTTTCTTTTTCTTTTTTTTTTTTTTTTTTTTTTTTTTTTCGTAAAAAAAGATTTCAATAACATTGACTTCTTTGAAACATTTAAAAATAATTAAATATATGAAATATATTCGACGTTATCAAAGTAAGTGTTACTTTTCTCGTTCTATGGAAAAAAAAAAAAAAAAAAAAAAAAAGAAGATAAGTTATTCGTCTTTTTCAAAGAAAGTGTTATGTTTCTATGAGAGGAGAAAAAAAAGAGGACGGGCGGGCAAAGGAGAGGGGAAGAAAAAAATAGAAAAAGAAAAAGAAACACACGCACACAAAAAAAAAGGAAAGTTTATCTTTGCTTCGAATATCTCGACAGAAGAGGGTGTTAAGTATATCTATAGTATGTGAAGTAAAAAAGTCAAATAAGTATTCTCCTTAACAGAATTCGTAACAGAAAAGAAAAAAAAATGAAAAATAAATAAATAAATAAATAGATAAATAAATAAATAAATAAATAAATAAAAAGAAAGAATATTTGTATGTCACGAAATACGAAGTTTCTCTCGACGAAATTTTTTTCATGTAAATCTTCGTATCCGCCGCCCCCTCCATTTCCCTTTCAGCCTCTCTTCCCCCTCCCTACCTCCCTCCCTCCCATATTGTCCGTATAAGAAGATAAAGGGATAAGTGAGAAAACGTTGGCGTTAGCATCCTCCTCTCGAATCTTATGCATTTATTATTACGACCCCACGGATCCCTATGAGCGAACGGACCGCACGAAAAGGGAAATTACATAATTCGTAGTGGATGCTCAGAGAACGTATGTAAGATTGCGGACGATCGGGTAAATGATGTCGTGGGAAACAAGTATCCCACATCCTCTCGGACGTTTATATTTGACTGTTAAATCATTGAAGGGCCACCATTTCTTTTTTTTTTTTTTCTTCTTTTTATTTTTTCCCCTCTTTCTTCGTTCTCTCTCTCTCTCTCTCTCTCTCTCTCTCTCTCTCTCTCTCTCGCTTTCTCTTTTCTATTCTTTTATATTCTTTTCACCTTAAGCCAGCTGACCTTCGTGAGAGTTACTTAGCTTTAACGCTTAACCATTTTCTGCTTTCCTTCTGTTTTCCAAGAACTTGCGTGCGTTTGCCGCGGGAGAAGGTACAAGGTTACCTTCTTTAGAAAAGTCCCAAGAAATCCGAAGAGAGAGAGAGAGAGAGAGAGAGAGAGAGAGAGAGAGAGAGAGAGAAAGAGAGAGAGAGAGAGAGAGGAGAGAGAAAGAGAGAGAGGTAGGTCTTCTTACAAAGCACAGGATTTCTTTTGCAAGGATCGAGCAGGGATTACAGGGAGAATCGAAATCCCACCCTCTTTAACTGAATGAGAAAAAGACGGTGAAAAGAGAGACGCGGTACAGGAAGTGTGTACACGTTTTTACTACCACAGTTTAAAGTTCATGTAAAGGGTAGTATATATGTGCTTACATTGATTGTCTCGCTTGGTTCCTTTTATGGAAGATTTATATTTGCGTTTCGTCCTAAGAAGGAGAAAAAGAAGAGAGAGAGAGAGAGAGAGAGAGAGAGAGAGAGAGAGAGAGAGAGAGAGAGAGAGAGAAAATCGAAAGTTCTCATAGGAACTACCAGAATGATTTATCCGGTCGTGCGATTATGTTTTGTATAATCGAAAGAAGATTAATACTACTACTACTACTACTATTATTATTATTATTATTATCATTATTATTATTATTGTTATTATTATTATTATTATTATTATTATTATTATTTTTATTATTATTATTATTATTATTATTACTATTATAAAATGGAATGTATTATCGATTGCAATCAATTTTGTATTATACGTTTAATACTTATGACTCATTGACAAGTATATAATCTATAATTAAACAAATGAAATTTAATCCAACGAGTATATATAATTTATAATTTAATAATAAATTATATATTTATATTTAAAATAAAAAATATGTTGATCCTTTCATTAGTTTAATAAATATAATTTAAATATAAATATTTCGATGATATTTCAATACTTTGATGATTTACGATAAATGATAAATGTATTGATTAAAACAATTCATTTCAATTATGAACATTAATTACATTATGATTGTAAAAATATAACTGACTAAATAATAGTAATAAAAAAAAAATAAATAATAATAATAATAATAATAAAAGAGAATTAAAATAAATCAATTAATATGACGACAAAAAAGATTGATCATGAACATTGATATATATGACGAATGGAATGCAATGAATCGTTTAAATAATAATTTACAAATTAATAATAGACATTAATAAATACGATTGATCATCAGTACGTTCAAACGTTGATTATAAGAATGAATGTAACGATTTCAAAAAAAAAAAAAAAAAAAAGAAATCCGAATGAAAAAAACATAAAAAATAAAAAATAAAAGAAATACTTATACCGTATCTATAATAATATTATTCGAACGTGTATAAAGTCGACAACCGTTGGTCGACCCATAGAAATAACGGATAGACCATTTACGAGAGTAGTATCATCGACCTTTCAGGTATATAAAGAATGCCGTATATATATATATATATATATATATATATATATATATATACATATATACATATATACATATATATATATATATATATATATATATATATAGTTTTGGTCCAGTACATATCGTCAAAGATTCCATCTTATAAAGATCCTCGTAGAAATCGTGCGCCGGTGTGTCCTATACGTCTCCTTATCCTTATCCTTCTTCTTCTCTTCCTTTTCCCTCTCTTACCCCATAGGAGAAAACACGTGCCGGCCACATGTTGCACAAAAGGAATCCTCCGTGGTCCTTTCGGGTTCTATGTATCCGTAAGTCGCCGTTACAAAGGAACCTTAGCTCCCTATAAAATGATTTTTCTTTCGGTAGCATCGAGGGATCCCATCCAAAAACTGGCAGATGTTTTTCCGTTTTCTATCGCGTCATACGCGTCGATATTTCTTTCATCTTCTTCTTCTTCTTCTTCTTCTTCTTTTTTCTTTTTCTTTTTTTTTTTATTTTTTTCTTTTTTTCTAACGACTGACACACTTACGAGGATAATGTCGAGGAAGAAGAATAGATAATTATTTAGAGATCTTTTATCGACTTCAGAAGATAACTTTTCTTCCTTCAAAATAATATCTTTTATATATATATATATATATGTAAATAATGTATATATCGTATATATGTAATCCGATTAATTCGATTAATAATATGTAATTCGACATACAGATTATACATATATTTTATATATTATACATTATATATATATATTTTTTTTTTCTTGTAATTTTTCTTCAATATATTATCTTATTAAATCTTCAAGCATATTAATCTGATAACTATTAATAACGAGTTAAATGGATTATTAGATTTCTGGTAATAATACAGTGATCCGTATATTCATAAGAATAAAAATCTGTATGAAACAAATATCGTCTATATCATCTTATGTTGTCAAATGTCTTCCTAGTTATTCTCGAAATTTGTATTTTCTATAATATAATATATATATATACACACACACACACATATATATATATATATATATTATAATAAAAATTCATTCGTATGCATACGTATGCATTATTTCTCTATAGCGATATCCACGAAATATAATTTCAAAGGGTAATAGCTAAGCGATGTATGGAACCTGATGCACACGCGCGTGTGCATTTAATGGAGCAACCCTATGGGCAAAGGAACGACGAGGAGGAAAGGTTCTTGAGAGAACGAACACGTGGTTATTCGACCATCTGTTGGCATCCTGTTCAGTTTGGTTTAACTTCAGCCGACCCCTTTCTTTACAAACTACTAGGTCTTTCCTTTTCTTTTCGTATTCAAGATCGACACTGTCGGTAGACATCTATCGATGAAAGGAGACGAAGAAAAAAAGAGAGAGACAGAGAGAGAGAGAGAGAAAGATTCTATGTAAATCTTTCGATCATTATTCGATCTAAAAAAAAAAAAAAAAGGAAGGATCTTTGATACAAACATATATCGTGATGAAAATGTATGTGTATACTTTTATAATACAAAATGTATTCACATTTTTATTTTTAGTTTACATTCTAATCGTCAATCAGTAAGAGAATATACATTATATGTCTATAATTATGAAAATGATTTATGTCAGTTGAAACGTTAAAAATGTTTTCGTTTCAAATTTCTACACGAAATTTCACATTAATAATAATATATTTTCATTAATCAAAATTCTAAATTAAAATGTTAGATAATATAAAAGTCTTATTTAATTTATTTAAACGTAATCCTTCAAATGTATCGAAAGAAGAAATATATGATTTAGATCAATTTCATAATTATGAGTATATATCTATGTATATGTATTTTTTTTTTGTATTAGTTATCTTAAACGAATTTTGACGATCCTTATTTAGAAAAGTTTGGATAAACATTCTCACGTTCTCTCTTGCTTATTAAATCTTTCAAATTGCCTTCTGACATTTTCCTTGAGTTTAAATCTACAAACAACGAATATCTCCACTATCGATGTAATTATTCATATTATGTTAATTACTCTTCGTAACTTGTCAAATTGTTATTGTTGTTGTTGTTGTTGTTATTCGTATTGTGTTATTAATTATCGATATGAATTTATGAATTCTTTTTCTTATTTCTTTTTGTCTTTCCCCCACCTTCCTCGTTTATAAAAGACACCGTTAATAAAGTTTATGAATTACTTGAGATGACTTTATCCCGCGGACGTCGTCTTTAAACGATGTAAAGTACGAATAAAAAGTTTCAAGATTTTAATTCATAAAAATCAATTACATTTTATCGAGACCAATTTGTTTTTTATTTATTTTTTTTCCTTATTATTATTATTATTATTATTATTTTTCTTTTTTTTTTTTTTTTTTTTTTTTTTTTTTTTTTTTTTTTTTTTTTTCTTTTTTTTAGATCGTAAAATTACGAGCACTAGGAACGATTTTGCGATTTGTAAAGAAAATGAAAAAGAAAAAGAAAAAGAAAAAAGAAAAGGTAAATTAGCCGAGAAAGATTTGGATTTTGGAAAAATTTGATTTTTAAGAGTTAGATTTTGAAAAAAATCACGAAGAAACAATCAAATGATTTCGTATAAAATAATACATCTCCCTTTGTATTTATTGAATTATTCGAATAGTGTCGTTGTAGCAAAGGATTCGAATTGAAATCTCAAAAGATACGAATTCTTGTTGGAAATAAATGAAGTGTTTATTTTCACGAAGTAATTTTTAATCGGCATTAAGAATTTTTTTTATGTACTTTATAATGGCTCGACGGTTTTTCACTGCTATGTGGTAAAAAAAGAACGAAGGGCCATATGTTTCGAGGTAGATAGTTTTTATATCTCTCTCTCTCTCTCTCTCTCTCTCTCTTTTTCTCTTTTTCTCTATTTTTCTTTCGCTCTCTCTCTCTCTCTCTCTCTCTCTCTCTCTCTCTTTCTCTCTTTTTTCTCTGAAATTTATTTTTATCAAAGGATGAACCACGAGAATGAGGACGCGGACGCAAAGAACTCACGCTTAAGATATTATTTTGAATATTGTAGTCGTTGAAATACTGTTACCGGAACATTGTTGCATCGAGCCTTTGCCGCTCGTAAAAGGACGGAATCGCGTGTGCCATAAGTACGGTGCTTTGTGAATATCCCGTAAAAGGTGTTCCAAGGCAGGTAAAGCATTTTTTTTTTTTTTTTCACTGAAACGATTCTACCTGACCCACCTGGCTTTTATGTCAGATATTTTTCGGAAGATCGTTTCTAAGGGAATTCAGGTTTGACGAGAAAGAGAGAGAGAGAGAAAGGGAGAGGATCAAGAAAGTTATTTTCTATTTTTCTTTTTCTTTTTTTTTTTTTTTTTTTTTCTATAAAATACACGTTTATTATGGCGTTATGGAGTGAAGTTCTTTTTTATTAAAGTATATATACGCGTATATCCGAAATTTCCATCAAATAAATTTGTAATTTATATGGAATATATACATAATATAAATTTGAAAAAAACAATATATTCAATATTATATATAATACTTTATATATATATATATCATTCTACCCATATATGTAAATATATATGTATACATAAAGTGCAAATTTGTTCGATAGAAATTTCGAAAGAAATTGGAAGGATCATTCGTCTTCACGAGAAGCATGGATTAAGAAGTCAATATCGAAGCTTTTGAGATAAGGTAGATATTGCTCTCATCTCCCTCTCTTAAATCTTTACTTCCTTTCGAAAGTTACTTCTCTTTTCTTTTTTTTTTTTTCCTTTTTTTTTCTTTTTTCTTCTTCTTCTTCGTCTTTTTTTTTTTTTTTTTTTTTTTTTTTTTTTTTTTTTTTTATACATGTGGGTAGTATTAAGCCGCACTAAGAAGAAACGTATACAAGATAGTCTGACACTTTCGTGGCCACTTTCATAAAATAAAATGTTCAACTGGAGTCTTATAAATCTTTGATATATAAAAAATTTGACGTAATATTTTCTTCCCGAGATAACGATAAAAATTTCGTTCGATTTAAAGAAAATAAATCTTACATTAAATTCGATTAATTCTTATCCCAATTGAAAAAAAAAAATATATATATATATATATTTTTTTTTTCTTATCAACGTTTAAGATATGTTTTTATCGATAAACAATTATTTAAAATTTACACAATTCAATTATATCAATTGGCAAAAATTAAAAAAATATCACTGGCGTGATAAAATTTTCAAGAGTTTTATGATATTAAATAACACTTATAAAATATTCTTGTTGCTGAATGAAGACAAATTGTAATAAAATTTAGAGAGAAAAAAAACAAAGCAAAGAAAATAAAATAAAAAAAAAAAAAGAGAAAGAAAAAAAAATAAAGATTGAAAACACATGAGACAGTAAAGTAAGAGAAATATTAGTTATATTTTGGATATACGGGGGAGATTTTTGACTTTTCTAAAATGGAAGGACCCGTGTCAAAAATATATTTCACATCCGAGGACGTCCGGTTGGCCACGCGCACTGCGTGTGTCGTTGACTGACGTCACGACACACCTGCTTCCTCACAGCTGTTTCCTTCGGTGTTCGTGGTGGCAAACCCTCCTTCACCCTTCTTTAACAAATGGATTTATTTCCTATCTTTTTTTTTTTCTTTTTTTTCAAATTATGAATGGACCATTGCAACTTTCTCCTATTCATATATTTATCGCAAATAAAAATTCCTTGGAAAAAAGTTCAATTTTTCAATGATACGTGCGAAATGAGAAACAGAAGAAGAAGAAGGAAAAAAAAGGAAGAAAAAAAGAAAAATAAATTGGAAAAATATCTCTCTCGTGCGCGAAATCTTTTTTTTTTTTTTTTTTTTTTTTTTTGTTTTAGGAAAAATTCAATTCCTGAACGGCGCATTACCGGATTAGAAACAGCGACTGGACATAAAATAACGGCGCCGCAAAACATGACGATAAAATTCATCCAACGTTCGAAGAGTAACTATCTACGTGTTCTGACGTTCGGTATAAGAAGAAGATGAAAAAAAAAAGAAAGAAAGAAAGAAAGAAAGAAAGAAAAAAAACACAAAAAGAAAAACCGATAGGATGCATCCAATCTCTCAGTCGAGATATGGGAATAAAGTGTTGTTGCTTCCGTGTTTTAGGAATGACGAAGAGTAAAAAAAAAAAAGGAAGAGTGAAAAAGAAAAGAAACGAAAAGAAAAGAAAAGTAAACACATTCGAACTAGGCCATTGCTATGTAGTTCGGTATGTCGAATAAAAAGAGAAATAATGATAAGAGGATAATGGAAAAATCCTGTAAGTTCATCTAATGAAGAGGTGACAGTAAATTTTTCACGGACACTTAAACCCATACTTTTTTTTTTTTCCTATACATCCCATGCGGTTTTTCCTACCCTCTCTTTACTATCTTCCTCTCTTTCTCTTTCTCTTTCTCTTCTCTTTCTCTCTCTCTCTCTCTCTCTCTCTCTCTCTCTCTCTCTCTCTCTCTCTCTCTTTCTCTCTATTTCTCTCTCTCTCGCTATCCTTTCCCCCGAGAGTATTAGTTTGATTTGCGATTTATCTAGCCATTTTTTTTTTTATATTTATACCCTTCGTGCTAGGTGGAATTGACCAAAAAACGATTCTTTAGAGAAAGTGAGACAGTAAGAGAGTAAGTAAGAATGAGTGAATGAGACAGAGAGAGAGAAAGAGAGAGAGAGAGTAGTTGAGATGGGAGTTTCACAATGGGGGTTGCGTATACTTATCCCCACCCCTTATTGAGAAACGATATGAAGCGTGTTTTACACAGACACACACCTCTGTTGGCTGACAGAGTCGTAACAGATGCAACTCTCTTTATCTCTTTCTCTCTTTGATTCTCACACGTTATCCATTTCTTCCTGTTTCCATCCCTCTCTCTCTCTCTCTCTCTCTTTCTCTCTCTATCTATCTATCTGTCTATCTATCTCTATCACTATCTCTTTCTATTTTTCTCTGTCTCTCTTTCTCACAGTAGGATACGGTCCTTCTTTCTTTCTTTCTTTCTTTTTTTTTTTTTTTTTTTTTTTACAGAAGGGCGAAACATCCCCTGAGACATCCCTTCGGACGAAGGGGAAGACGAGTTTTGTGGCTGGTTCGGTTAACTAGAGTATTGTTAGATTATTATTTCGGTACATATCGCGCACTTGTTACCTCTTTGTGCGGTCATATGGTGATGCTAAGGACGACTGGGCGCCTATTCGTACGATAGTCAATGAAACGTTTATTTTTTTCGAAATGCCTACCATCACTCGATTACGATTACGATTACGATTATGATTACTATTATTATTATTATTATTATTATTATTATTATTATTATTATTATTATTATTATTATTATTATTATTATTATCATTATTGCTATTCTTTATTTCAATCGATGATACCCGCATCGTCTTTTGATTTGATATTCGTGCGAAAGTGGAATACTATTTGTCTTGGATGATTGAAGGGACGACGGCGCAGAAAAAAAAAAATAAAAAAAAAAAAAAGAAAGGAAAGAAAGAGAAGAAAAGAAAAGGAATGAACGTTTTTCGAAAACAAAAAGGAAGGAAAAAAAAGTTCTCTTTATTTTTTTGATCAGTTTTTAGTTACTCTAACAAATAAACAACGTAATCTTCTTTCTTTCTTGCTGTTTTTTTTCTTAATTTTTTTTCTTTTTTTTCTTTTTTTTTTTTTCCTTTAAATCGAACGTGATTCGAGAATTTAATGGGGGGATAATAGCGATGGGAGTAGAATCTATAGTATATATCAGAGGGATGTTTCTACCTTACTTACTACTAGAGATATCGATGAAATTTAAGTCGGATACTCAACGAATGCACGAGTGGGGGGTATGAGATATGGGGTGTGGGGTGTGGGGTGAGCTAGGCTGGGATAGGGTCTTTCTCTAAGAGTGATCATAGACGATACGTGGAATCATGCTATGTGTATATATACATATGTGTGTGTGTGTGTGTGTGTGTACGTGTGTGTATTTAGACAACTTAAGCCCTTATGTGAGACAGGTACTACTGATTAATATTTCAAAGTACGATGTCGAATATTATTACGTTCGAAATAATTCTGTTTAATTATTTTAACTTATAATAGTCCCAATTAGATTAATTACATGTAAAGTATAATTCAATAATTAACGAGTATATAATATACGTATAATTATATCGGTTTATATAGGTAATATATTTTTTTTTTTTTATTTTTTTTTTTTTTTTTATTTTTTTTTTTTTGAGAGAGAGAGAGAGTCAATTACTGTAGATATAATATAATAATTAACATGTATATACATACATACATATATATATATATAAATTGTACATTCAGGTTTTTATCAGATTAAAAAAAAAAAGAAAAAAAAAAAGAAATAAGCAAAAAGAAAAAGAAAAGAGAGAGAGAGAGAGAGAGAGAGAAAAAAGAAAAAAAAAAGAAAAGTTAAATCAAATCCTTCAGTCACAAAAAAATCTATTAATACTCCAAAGATTTGTTATTTCATTTATTTTTTTTCAATCGAAAACTTCGTACGTGCATAATTATTATAGATGTAAATCTCGTAAAAGAGATTTCTAATGTATATTCGAGCTGCATAAAGAGATAGAGATTTTCCTAATGGAAGAAACGTTCATTCGACGAGAAGAATGTGTTCTTTTCGATTGGATTAAATCGAATTGAAGCGAGAATATGGATGAGAGGAAAAAGAACGGGGAAAGGGGAAAAAAGAAAAAGAAGAAGAAGAAAAAGAAGAAGAAGAAGAAAAAGAAGAAAAAGAAGAAGAAGAAGAAGAAGAAGATGGTCGGTATCGATGAGGAGGACAATGATCTTAGCATGGCTATGGAAACATCTGCTCGTGGATCACGGCATGTCCTCCTTCGAAAGAGCCGATTTCTCGATCGTATCCTGAACCTTGTTCCAAGCTTCGGCAAGCATAAGCATTCACATTATTATCCTCGTTTTTACCATAAGAGAACACCATCTCACTCTCTCTTTCTCTCTTTCTCTCTATCTCTCTCTCTCTATCTATCGCTTGGTTATCCCTTCCTGCATATATCTCATCCTTCTTCGTTTTCCTTCTCCACCTTCTCCTCCTCCACCTTTTCCTCCTCCCTTTCCTTCTTCTTTACCTTCCAAGTGATCTTTTTTGGTCCACGAAACATCTGCGGCAGCTGCGAGGCGGTGGGCCCACCACACAGGGCTCTCCTTCGAGTCCGGGCAGGTGCTCACCTTCTCGAGCTTCTCCCTCGCCTGCCAATTACGCGTGCCTTTTTCTGCCTCTTCTATATATCCATCCTCTTTCATTCCTACATGATGCTCCTTTCTCTTCACTCTCTCTTTCTCTCTCTCTCTCTCTGTCTCTATCTATCTCTTTCTATCTCTTCTTCCTGTTCCTCCTTGTCCTCGATAAAAAGGGCTCCTCGTTCAGCTTGATTCGTTCCTTCTTTTTCCTTCATTTTGGTCCAGCGATGGATGCATCTCTCTTTCTCTCTTTTTCTCTTTATCTCTCTCTCCCTCTCTTTCTCTCTATCTCTTAAGTCTTCAGGCAATATCGAGGCACGTGCACCGTTGGCGCGCACGCTTAAAGCTATGGGCCATATTCGATATCTTTAGCAACGTAGAGAGAAGTATGCCGTCGTGTGCAGAAAGAAATCGACAGATTCCTCCGCCTCTTCGCGCTGTTATGTGTACTTACATATGTATGTATAGGTATCATGGATCAAACTATCTTATCTTCCTTGTTTCTTTCTCTTTATTAATTTTCTTCTTTTTCTTCTTATTTTTCTTATTCTTCTTCTTCTATCATAAACACGTGCCTTTGCGATTTCATTATTTTATCCTTCTTGACACGTTTGATCATTCTCTCCAACTTCTTCTCTTTTTTTTATCGTTTGACTATATGTATATATATATATATATATATATATTTACATTTGAAAAAAGAGTATTTAACTTTACTCTTAAAAATTTCTTTATTATAAATTTTTATACTTATAAATTTTTAAAACGTAATTTCTTTCTCGAGTTAAAGCAACAGGCTGTTGCTTTAAAAGAAGATGGTCTAACTTTAAAATTGTGTCATTTTAATTCGCAAGAAGTTAATAATATTTTATAAAGGGTGTTTATCGTTAGAAAAAGGTATTCAACTTTTAAGATTTATTATACTTTAATTGTAGGATGGAAATTATGTCTTAAATAAAAGTTAATATGAACGAACGTATGCTCTTCTTCTTGGATTCTTTTTTATTTTCTATTTTTTTATTATTTTTTTTTTTTTTTATCTAATTTTTCTAATATCAAATTTTTCGAATCCAATGAGATTTCTCATATCGACGAATGCATGTCTCTCGAATTTCTGCATTTTCTCGTATTTTATAGAGAAATATAATTTCTAATTAATTGAAAGTCACTCTTCCAAATTTAAAAGTAACTTTTTCCTGAAATTTTTTAACAACAGAGATCCCCAATTAACAAGGTTGACATTATATAATACGATACCATAAAGTTTGCCTCTCTTAAAAATTGTGAAAGTTACTCTTTCAAAAAAAAAAAAAAAAAAACAAGAAAAAAACAAAAAAAAAACAAAAAAAAAAGAAGACAAAAAATGCACATACTTCAAATACGTAATTCGAAGAAAAAATTTTAATAGCCGATTGAAATAATATTATTATTACTCGTTCGTATATATATTAAAATGATTATTTATTTCCAATAATTATTCTATTGAAATGTATTAGCGAACAAAGTTGAATACTTTATAAACGTAACACCCTGTATATGAGAACGTGTATTTACGCATGATATCCCATAACTTAAGTTCTCTCTCTTTCTCTCTCTCTCTCTCTCTCTTTCTCTCTCTTTCCCTCTTCCTTCCACCCTCCTTCTGTTTGGTCTACGTGATATGTCGGATTATATGAAATTCTTGGAATTGTGTCTTTAGTTCGACTGTGTCACGTAGAGAAATTCTCTTTTACTTAACATTAAACGTTAAGGACAACTGTCAGATTTAAAAAAAAAAAAAGAAAAAAAAAAAAAGAAGAAAAAGAGTTAAAAAGAGAGAGAAACCGCCAGGTAAGTTTCAACGTCTTATCGTCGATCTTCTTTGTGTATAATAAAGAGGAAAAGAATTAAAAAAAAAAAAAAAATGAAAAAACACATGAAAAAGAAAGAGAAAGAGAGAATGAGAAAGAGAGAGAAAGAGAGAGAGAGAGAAAGAGATAGAAAGAGAGAGAATGAGACAAGGGGAAAGAATGAAAAGAAGAAAAGTAGGATTAAGGTATTAGCAACGAAGTCGCGTTCGTTTTGCTCGTAAGATTCGACACAAAGAAGAAAGATAGAGAAAGAGAGAAAGATTCGCGCGTGAAACCTGCTCGTCCAAAGGACGCCAGTCGGTGGCGGTGGCGGTGGCGGTGGCGGCGATGGCAATGGCGATGGTGGTGGCGGTGGCGGAGGCAGCGGAGGCAGCGGTGCCTGTCTTTCTCGAAGAAAAGGCAGAGGAGTTTCGGGGGGTTCAACCACATGCCTCCTTGCTTCTCGGATTCCATATCTAGCAGCTGCCCCCTTGTCGCAGTGCATCTCATTCTTCACGGAAGTTCTCTTATATTTTTTCATTAACCATTATACAAAAGTATTTCTATTAAAATCGTCTAATTATTTTCTTCTATGCGTTTTTCATCTTCTTTCTTTCTTTTTTCTCTTTTTTTCCTGTTTTTTCTATTTTTTTTTTTTTTTTTTCCCTAAACGATTTCTAAGAAAAATTTCATTCCCTCCTTTCGCCATCTCTTTTCTTTTCTTTTATTTTATTATAACAAAAAAAAAAAAAAAAAAAAAAAAGAAAAGAAATACGAACAAGAAAAAAAGAAATTAATTAATTTTGAAAATTTGAAGATTTGTCTCTTTCTCTCTTCTCTCTCTCTCTCTCTCTCTCTCTCTCTCTCTCTCTCTCTCCCTCTCCCTCTCCCTCTTTCTTTCTCTCTTTCTCTCTATCTATCTATCTTTTTCTCTGTGTGTGTGCATTTTATTTTTTCTATTGTATTAAAAATCAATTTGATTCGATTTCATTCAATCAATTGCAAATTTAATAGTTCGCGTTTTTTATTTCTATTATTATACAATATTAATAATTAATCTAATCTTTCGTTTCTTTGTTAATTTCTTTTTTATTTTCTTTCTTCTCTCTCTCTTTCTCTCTCTCTCTCTCTCTCTCTCTCTCTCTCTCTCTCTCTCTCTCTCTCTCTCTCTCTCTCTCTCTCTCTCTCTCTCTCTCTCTCTCTCTCTCTCTCTCTCTCTCTCTCTGTCTGTCTCTTTCTATTTTGTAAGAATTTAGAAATGTAATATTTTCTCCATTTTGTTTTTTCCAGGATTGAGAGAGAGAGAGAGAGAAAGAGAAAAAAAAATAACGACGACGTTTTTCGAACGTCGAATAATTGTCATTCGAATGTATAATTTAATTGAGATAAAATTAGTTAAATTATATTATTTAAATAAATAGATATGTATATAAATATATATTATACATATATGTATGTATATATATAACTTACCCGTACAGCATTGCAGCTCCTGCTATACCTCCACCACATTGAGCTGCTATGTAAAGAGCTGCACGTAACGGTGAGATACGTCGACATAGAGAAAAGGATATTGATACTGCAGGATTTATGTGTGCTCCTGTAAATGAAAAATATACGAAATAAATATACATAGGAAATAAATATACATAGGAAATAAATATACATACATACATATGTATATATATATATATATATATATATATATATATATTTATTTATGTTTTTTTTTCTATTTCTTTTTTTTTTATATATTTATCATTTGAATATATCGAATAACAAATCAATTTCATAAAATATGTAGAAATATTGAACGAATTCATATATCTTTATGTCATTATATTAATAATAATTTCTAATATATTTATAATAATATTTCTAATAAATATCGAATAGATTTAATTAAATGAAGAGTAAAGGAAAAAAAAAAAGAAAAAGAAAGAAAGAAAGAAAGAAAGAAGAAGAAGTAAAAAATTTAATAACAATTACAGATAATAATAGCATGCACGAATGATAGAACATTTTTTAAATTCTATTGGACTGATAAATGTATTGGAAATGCATACATACACACGCACGCACACACACACACACACACACAGAGTGTGTGATATAAATATAATAAGAAAGATATTTTTGTCAGAGAGATAATCAAATGTTAAATAAAAATGATATGAAATGAAGGGTAATGAATTTGAACAGGATTTTAATTCAGTCGATTAATTACTTTCCTTGTTTATGGAATGAGACACTTTACGAAACAATACGTTACGAAATATCTAACGAGACGATCACAAAGCAGATAGACATTCGAGAAACTCGTGCTGATATATCGCAAGCGTGTAAGTGAAGAAACGTAAATTGAATGTGCCCACATGCCTTCGAATGAACGAGTTACGCGTAAGTATCTACACACATATATATATATATATATATGTATATATGTATATATGTATATATGTATAATGCATACGTATATAAACGTACTTGTATGTATACAGGCATATATACACGGTTTGCTATGTAATAGGTTAACGAGCTAATCGAGAGGGACTGCGAGGGCCGACCACAAGTGCTACTAAAACGAGGGGTAAAGAGACCATTTGCGAAACGAGATGTTCCTTTTTGAAATAGAAAAAAAAAAAAAGAAAAACAAAACAAAAAAGATATATTAACTTTAACGCCAATGTATTTCTCTTTCTCTTTATCCTTTTCATCTTTTTCTTTTTAAAACGAATATTTTTCTTTGTTTTTTCTCTTTTATCTTTTTTCTTTTTTTGTTTTGTTTTATTTTAATTGATGAATTAAAATTGAATTATAATAAGAGTGAAAAAAGGAAAAAAATTAAAGATTAAAATTTAACAAAAAGAGAGAAAAAGAGGTCTCACCGCTAACATGACCGAAAATGAGATAGATCGCTGAGACGGCGAAACCGGAAGCAATTGCGGTCGCCAGGATGGAGAGTCCACTTCCGGAAACTGCAGTAGAAGAGGCTGCTCCGGATACAACCAAACCAAAGAGGAAAGTTGCAAGGCACTCAACCGCTACCGCCCTCCAAAGTTCCAAACTTCGCGCCTCGGTTAACATTGGTATCCTTCTTTCGGATAAATCAGGATTATTCTCTCTTATATTCGTAAGTCTCGTCAAAAGATTTACGATGTGGGCATCCACATCCCTTGGCAATGATTCCGTCGTCATATTTTACAAAAGATATTTCGGTATATCTTTTTATCAAAGTATGAAAAATTATCCTTTCGAAAATAATTCGTCTTCTTCACTTTATCGATTTATATTTCATATATCCATAGAAATAAACGAGATCATTAATATTCCTTTTTTTATTTCATTTATCTGTTCGATAGAATAGCGTTCTTTAAAAGCTTATTAAAAAAAAGATCGACACAGGTTTTTTTTTTTTTAATCTTCTTTAACTCTCATTCTCTTTAATTATCCATCTATCGATATATAGGATCGATCTCGTTTTAATAAATAAATAAAAAAAAAAAAGAAAGAAGGGAGAAAAACAATTTCGTTCACAATTATCAATACTACTTGTGGCGCGAGTTTATTTCATAATTTTCTCTTTGTTTTTTCTTCTTCTTCTTATTCTTTTTCTTCTTCTTCTTCTTCTTCTTTTTCTTCTTCTTTTAATTATCACATTCCTCGAGACACAATGGTATTATCACCAATACGATACGTTCGCGAAAATCGTTCGTTTTACGCGTGTCTTCTCTTTGTTTACTTTTTTTTTTGCATATATATATACATATATATATGTATATATATAGATGACCACACTCTTTCTTGAGAATAAACAAGGAAGAGGAAGATGGAGAGAGAGTGAGAGTAAGAGAGAGAGAAAAGAGAGAGACGAAGGTGGCCGATGTTGCCACAACGGCAACGCGCTCTCGAGTGACAAGCAGATCGCGCTCCGAAGAACAAGTGGGCCCCGGAGTGCGCGAGCACCCCCACTGCACCACTCCCACCCTCTCACGTATGGTCGTATGATCACCGGTGCATCTGGTGGCTGCGGCTTGCATTCGGTATGTTCGTCGAGAAATTCGAATCTCTCTCTCTCTATGATAATCTTTTTTCTCTTTCCCTCCCTCCCCTCCCCTCTCTCTCTCTCTCTCTCTCTCTCTCTCTCTCTCTCTCTCTCTCTCTCTCTCTCTCTCTCTCTCTCTCTCTCTGTTTCTCTGTTCCTTTCTTTCTTTTCTTTTTACGTTTATTAATATAACTTATGAATTTCTGTTAAATATTTTTGATCAGATAATTGTACAAATCTTGTATAATCTTTTTTGTTTTTGTTCTTTTTCTTCTTCTTCTTCTTCTTCGTTTTTGTTTCTTTTTTAATATTCGTTTAAAAAAAATAAATATAGATCATCAATGTTCTCTTTTTTTTCCTGATAATTCCCTTTTTTTTTTTTTTTAGGACAATAATACTATAACTTCGTTATTAATTTTTGTATACGCAGAGATATAAATTGATAAAAATAAATATTATATTGTATAGATTATAAAATTGTTGTCTTTCTTTTTTCCCTTTTTTTCTTTTTTTTGTTTTTTCCTTTTTCTTTTTACTAATAATTTTTAATGATGATTATATAATGTTTATAAACCTTGACATAATCGCGTTATAATTTTTATTATACGCATTTGTAAGAGTGAATACAGATTTTTCTTTTCTTTCTTTTTTTTTTTTGATAATAATCATATCGTATAATCATGTATAAAATTATTGTATGACATATGGACCATAATTTTTTTTCTTTTTTTTTTTTTTTTTTTTTTTTTCATTTCATAAAGAATTTATTTAATACGTTAAATTAATGAAATATTATTTATTAAATTAACATCTTCTGTGGACTCGGCAGATCCTATTCCCACGGATTCAAAGAGTATTTTAATGTCCAAGTTCTCACAAAAAAGAAGGATGTACGCGCGATGGGATATGAACAAGGAATATAATGGTACCCATTTGGATCAACTTTGTGCCGAATGAGGATGAACTTCACTGTGATCATGTGTCTGCAACTTTTAAATTCGTAACCATAGACCTTCTTTCCCAGGAATCGTGTTGTTCCTGTAAACGTGTTTATAAAATAATGTATAAGTAAAGAATGAAAATGATCAATTGATTCGCATGTAAGAGAAAAGAAAAAAAAGAAAAAAAAAAGAAAGAAAAACTTTTCGAATCTTCCAAAACTTCTTCTTTTCTTTTTTTTTCTTTTTTTTTATAATTTCGAAAACAAGTTCACTTGGAGGCATAATGAAAACATAAATTTTCAATTGCAACATCTCAAACGTTAATTTCTAACGTCAATGCTTTAAAAACTATTAAAAATTTTCGATATGTTAAAATTATGAAAATAAATAAATTTTTTATTGACGTATTTTATATACGTATAAAAGTCATTGAAAATAATACTAATTTAATAAATCGTGTAAAAATTTTACAAAGATAAATTTCAATTAGCGAATAATTAAAAAGTCATTATAAACCGTTGGATTTCTTGGGATTTAGAATTTTCGAATTGTTTTGATTGAAATAGACGAGATGACAAAAAAGCAAGATCGTTTACGAAAAATGAACCCCGTCGTTTCGAGCGTGACGATATCAAGTTGGATGATGAGAGAACGATAGTGCTCGTATAATTAAAGTTATTCGATCATTTTGGCATTGACTGTACCAACGTAGATATATACATCTCGTGCCGGGATGGCAATAAATTTTCCAATTACTGTAAATTGAACAACTTGGACTCTGTAAAAGAGTATTCATAGATATAAAAAAACATTTCTTTTTACGATGTTACACGTGTAATTATATTTTAAACATTTTAATTATACAATGTTTCTAACATTCGTAATTTACCATTTAAGATTTTAACGTTTTAAACAGATTTTAATTTAATTAATCTCACACTTGTTATATTTCATTTTATTTCAAAAGAAAAAACAAACAAAAACAAAAAAAAAAAAAAAAAAAGAAGAAGAAGAAAAGGGAAAAAGAAAAAACAAACAAAACAATAAAAAAAAAAATCTAATTTAATTTACAATTGTAATTACGTGCATTTTTACGTGTACGCACGTAATGATTATGTGTATGCATGAAATGATTCGAATAAAAGTAATTTTCAATAATAACTATTACATTTAATTTTGTACGTTTACTGTACGTAATTTATATTTCTTTTTTCTTTTATATTTTTTTTTTTTCGTTTTGTTAATAATTCAATTCAATCTAACTTAATTTAATTTAATTTAATTTAATTTAATTTAATTTAATTTAATTTAATTTAATTTAATTTAATTTACTTCAATGTAGTTTAGTTTTTAGTTTAGTATAGTTTCGTAAAATTACTTTTCCTCGGAAGCCATATTATTTGGAAAAACATTCTTAATTTTGAATATAACGATGATTTAACGAGAATTCAAAAGCGTATCACTTTATTTATGGATCGTGGATAATGTTCGCGAGAAATATATGTCAATGTTCATTTTATAAAACGATGTGTTCGATGTTCTCATATTTACTTAATAATTTTAACTTCAATTTTAACTCTCTCGTGAAATATTTACGATCACGATTATATCTTACAACAATTAATAAATTTATCGTTTCATTAATCGATCAATGAAAATAATATATAATATAAAGTAATACATAACTGTATATTGTAATTTATTTTTCTCTCGTATATTTATATTTCGTTCTACTTTAATTTCTACTTTAATTAAAAGAAATTTTTATGTAGGTTAATAAAAATTATTATCAAAAAGGAAAAGAAAAAATGGCCAATCGATGATACATCGTTTTTGTATGGTTATAAAAAAAAAAAAAAAATAAAAAAATGTTTCCATTAAAAAGCTAACCGATCAATATTCTTTCGCATTTCTTTTTTTTTTCTTTTTTTTTTTTTTAGTTTTACTAACGTTTACTAAACGTATAATTCAACTAAAATGATAGAAAGGAGTTTATATTACATTTGATTAATAAATAATTTGCTACAGAAGTCAATGTCTTATTAAATTAAGTTAAATTAAATTAAATAAATTATATTACATGTCGTAACATGATTTAAATTAAATAAAATTTAATAATTAAATTTAATATATATATATATATATATATATATATATATATATGTATAATTTTTTGTAAGAAATTAAAAGAAAAAAAAAGAACAATGTATATATAATATTTATTAATTTTTTATAATTTTTGTTTTATGAAACAACAATCATCATGGTAAGTATAAAAAATATATCATAGAAATTGTCAATAATTTTAATTATTAATTAATAAACTTGTTGACCTATCACGAGTATACACGTGTTCGTACACGCATACAATTTACTCAATTATTAAAATATAAAATTACATTAAATGACATTATAATAAATATCGTTTATTGTGCCTGATAATGTATTTGTAAATATACACCAATATTTTCACATGCATACAACTTACGTAATTATTAAAGTATAAAATTATATAAATCATTATTACATAATATCATTTATTTTGTTGTATAATTAATTTTAAATATTATCGATTCTCTTATGCAATTCATTTAATTCAATTTAATTCAATTCAATTCAATTTAATTTAATGGAACATTGTCTTTAGAATTACATCATATTTAAAGTTTGTCATATATTAATAAAAATTTTAATTCAATTATAAATACAGCCGATTCATTTTTGATTTGTTCGATCATCCGTATTTTTCTTAATTAATGATAAATATTTTGTAAAAAAAAAAAAAAATGCTCTTGTCTCTTCCTGTCAATATCTCTTTCTCTCTCTCTTTTTTTTTTTCTTTCTTTCTACTTTTTAAGACAAATATTGTTTTTAATTAATGACAAATATTTTTGTAAAATAAATACTCAATATACATGAATATTTTGATTTAACGTAAATAATTAAATATTAGAGTTCAGTCATTTATATTATTACTATTGTTATTTAATTATAATTATCGATTATATTAATTTAAAATAATTATTTAAATGTTTAGAAATATTAATCCAATAAATAGACAGTGTTACTTTCTCTATGGTATAATAGACGATTAACGATGTGTTAAGAAAACGTAATCGATATCGTATAATACTCGTATTACATGTTTGATATTTAAGATGACTGTACTGTTAATTATACACTCACACACTCACACCCCCTCTCTCTCTCTCTCTCTCACTTAACACTTTCAAACATTATGACGAAATTACAATAAAAAGGGATTTCCTTTCTTTCAACTTGGAATTAAATTGGTTGAAAGCAAAAAAAACAAAGGAAACAAAACAGAAAAACACTCGAAGTATTTCGAAGAAGTCTAAACAAAAATGTATAATTACAAAAAAAAAAAAAGGAAAAGAAACAAAAATGTACGACGTATATATAATATATAAGATCGATATTTTTCATCGATTTTTATTCGATCTTACTTCGAAGAGATATCGAATGTAATGAAAATGTCATTGACTTGAATGAATTTTAAAGAGACGAAAAAAATTTACACCTTTACACCTTTATTATTATCAGATGATTTATTATCGATATCTAATCAATTGGTATATATATATATATATATATATATATATATATGTATATATATATATAAAAAGTGGGATATTAGATGCGTTATGTTCGACGATCGTGCATCACGAAAGTCAGTGCATTCCATTAAATTATTATTAGTGCACAATTAGTAACTTCCTACGGACATTCCAAAGTTACTATACATTAATACATATATGTATATATATATGTATATATATATGTATCGTATACATACATGTAAAGAAAAGAAGGATCGTTCGTATATTATACATACATACATATATACATTATTCTCGATCGTATATAACGAGTCTCTCTCTCTCTCTTTCTCTATGTGTATATGTATATATGTGTGTGTGTCTGTGGAATCTCTTTTGGCGAACGAATGAGCGTGGGTGATACTCTAATACTCGTTTTCTCGAGAATTCAGTGACGCTACGAACGTCGGACGCGTCATTTCTCATTCGTTCAACGCAGTACGAATAGTTCCTCTTTTTTTTTCTGCTTTCTTTTTCTTTTCTTTTCATTTCTTTTTTACGTTTTTTCTTTTTTCTTTCTTTCCTTTCAATCTTTTTTTCGTTCCTTCTTTTTCCCACCTTGATTTAAAATATTCCAAATCAATAGAAAATTCAAAAAGTGAAACTAATTATTATTTATCATCGATTAGAACATTTTTGCGTAATATATTTGATCCCGTTTATTGATAAATTTCAAGAGATTATTATATAAAGTTTGTTAACCTTACGAAAAAAGAAAAAAGAAAAAAAAATATATATATATATATAAATCTGTAAGTATATATAATATATAAACAAAAATATATATAAACAAAAAACACAAACATCAACATACATATATGCATATATATATATATATAAACACATATATATAAATATGTAAATAAAAAGCATAAATATATATATATAAATTTCGTCGTAATATATTCGATCCCTATTGTTAATAAATTTCAAAAAATTTTTATAAAGTTTCTTAACCTTACCAAAAATACATATATATATATATATATATTTATTTGTATAATATACATGCAATTGTATAATATACATGCATAAAAAAAAACATATACAAACATCTACATACATACATACATATATATATATATGTACATGAGATTTATTTAATAAAAAATTGTATTATACGTATATTTCATATACAAGAATTAACCTGAATGAAGATAAGAAGATAAAAAGATAACACCTCGATCGTTCGTCACGTATCATACGTATCGTTCAATACAGAAAGAAGAACAAAAAGAAAAAAGAAAAAAGAAAAAAGAAGAAATAAGAAGAAAATTCTAGTTTCTCTATATGGAAAGATTTTACTTTCGCGGTTAATGCACATTACCTTTCCCTTTTTCATCTTCGACGAGAACGAGAGTTCTACTACGTCAAACGATCGTACGTGCGCGCGCGCGCGCGCACACGACTCGTTCTTTCTGTTTACGAAACAAACTTGTGAAGACACGATGTGACGTATGTAAAAGAGAGAGAGAAAGAGAGAAAGAGAGAAAGAGAGAGAAAAAGAGGGAGAGTTACTTACTTCAGTTCATTGAGTGACGCGCGCGCGTCCACACGTAAACATTTACGTATGTGTTAGTAAATACGTAAAACACATACATATATACACGTACGTACGTATGGTTTGGACAACGACCACACCTATAAGATTCAAGAGATAGAAAGATAGACAGACGCTTTCGTTTGTACGCGTGCAGAAAGATGGCCGCGTCGTTTAACCGTCATCATTCATCGGCTACATATAACATTATTATATTCATCGTTTATATTTGTTTCTATCTTAATACGTGTCCTATAATTCTCAGCGAAGAAAGAATTTCTCAAGGTAGCAGATATTATAATCGTGATGGCGTTTATGTGCCACCGAATCCAGCCGGCTATCAGACCTATGTCTACAAAGATAGGAGATATGGATATCAACCTAGCTACCTTGATCCTATTTACAGGGGTCCAACTAGGGCTCCAGAGGATCGTTACCTTTATGGGGTGAGCTTTATTACGTTTAAGAAAAAATGTTTTCTTTCTTTTTTTTTTTTTTTTTTTTTTAAATCACGTCTCCATTCCTTTTTCTTTTTTTCTTTTTTTTTTTTTTGGTGCATTTTCATCGCCTCTTGCTAAGGTCTAACGTGGATGAAACAGTGTAATACATCTTCGATTAATATATAGGGTAAAATGATGGTTTTTTTAAGGACATGACACCTAGTGTACCGTTACCTGGAATACTCGGTGGATGGCGACAGGATCTTCAAGGAAAAGAGAGACAGGATTCTTCAAATTTAAAAACTGATGTTTTTGTTACAACCAGATATGGACAAGTTCAAGGATTTGAAGTTAATTTATATGACGATCCGAATGCACAGCATAGACCTTGGAATGTACAAGTTGAAAGAATTACAAAAAATGTTAATGTATTTCTGGGAATACCTTATGCTATGCCACCTACGAAGGATGGTCGTTTCAAGCCACCAAAGCCGCATAGGTTTGTATATATTATTTGTTTTATTTATTTCCAATATATTTTGATTATAATTTTTATTTCGTTTTAGAGGATGGCAACTCTTACAGGCCGTTGATTGGGGTCCAGCGTGTCCACAACCCAGCTCATATACTGGGGCTACAAAAGGAGTACGCGACGTAGATGAAGATTGTTTGTATTTAAATATCTTTTCGCCCAATGTAAGTTCATTGATATTTAGATTTAATAGTTATTAAAGAGTGTAATAAATAAGAATGGATAAATTTGATTACAGATTGATTCAGGATTAGCACAGCCATATTCAGTGATGCTTTATATACATGGAGGTGAATTTACTCATGGCGCAAGTAATTTATTTCCGGCACATATATTGGCAGCATTTTATGACGTAGTAGTTGTATCTATAAATTATAGATTGGGAGCGCTTGGTAAATTTTTTGAGTAAAAAAAGTATCTATAAAAATCTCTATATATTATTTGTCTGTTTATTCATTCGTATATCATTTCTTTTTTTTTTTATCGCTGTAGGATTTTTAAGTACAGGGGATGAAAATAGTCCAGGAAATTATGGTATTTTAGATCAAGCAATGGCATTACGATGGGTTTATGATAATATTGGTGATTTTAATGGTAATCCTGATGCTATAACATTGTTTGGACCTGGAGCTGGTGGAGCAAGCGCAGGCTTATTAATGGTAGCACCAAGGTAATTTATATAATTATTAACTTTTTTTTATTTTATATAATTTTTCTTTTTCTTTTTTTCTTTTTTTCTTTTTTCTTTTTTTTTTTTTTTTTTTTTTTGATTGTTTTGTTTTATTATAGAACACGACAAATGGTTTCAAAAGTTATTGCACAATCGGGCTCGGCATTAGCCGATTGGGCAGTAATAATGGATAAATATAGAGCACAAAATACATCAAGAGTTTATGCAGAAATGCTTGGTTGTAGTATAGAGAGCAGTTGGAAATTAGTGCAATGCTTGAAAGATGGTCGTAATTTTTTTGAATTGGGAAACTCTGAATTTAAACCACACGTAGGAATGTTCCCATGGGCTCCCGTATTAGACGTTAATTTTACAGTACCACGTGATAATTTATACGAGGATTGGGCAGCTTCTGATTGGCGTTTCTTTGCAGAAACTCCTGAAGAAAGTATTAAAACTGGAAAATATAAACGAGATTTGGCATATATGGGAGGTGTTACCACTCAAGAGGCAGCATTTATTTTATGTAATATAAATTTTAATATCAATGATAATATATTGATTGTTACATAATTCAATGTATTAATTATGCTCATTTAATTTCAGATAACAATGAAACCTTGGCTAGGAATGATTATATAATAGATAAAGAATTATTCGATCAAAAAATTTGGGAATTAGTTTTACGTTATAATTATACACTTAATCCACAAGGTGTTTACGAAGCTATAAAATACATGTACACATATTGGCCAGATCCAATGAATGTTACACACATTCGTGATCAATATATAAATGTATCTATCCAATAATAATTATTAGTTTTTTATTTTTTAATTTTTTTTTTTTTCTACATATGTGCATGTAATTAATAATTTTAATTATATTTCAGATGTTAACTGATTTTCATTATGTTGCACCATATGATAAAATAGCAAAATTATTAGTAGAGAAACATGTGCCTACTTATTTGTACGTTTTAAATACGACTACAGAAGCCTTTAGACTGCCACATTGGAGACGAGTACCTCATGATACCGAATTACTTTGGTTGACTGGTGCACCTTTTATGGATGTTGGTACGTTTATGGATATTGACACACACATATATATATATATATATATATATATATATATATATACATAATCTTAGTTATTTTTATAATAGTATATTGAATCTAATCTTTCGAATGTAGAATTTTTCCCTGAAAAATGGAAATTAAGAAGAGATATGTGGACGGAAAATGATCGTAATATGAGTCGTTTCTTTATGAAGGCATATTCTAATTTTGCAAAATATGGGTATTTATAATTATTATTTATGATGCATGCAAAATACGTAACGCATATATATATATATATCGTTATTATCATTATTATATATCGTTTCAGACATCCAAGTCCTTCACAGATTTTGGGATTACATTTTGATGTTGCTAAATATGGTCAATTGCAATATTTAAATATTAACACAACATTCAACAGTTCAATTATGATAAATTATCGTCAAACCGAAAGTGCATTTTGGTCGATGTATTTACCAACGGTTATTGGTAGACTAGTCCCAACATATCCACCTGTTACCGAGGTATTTATAATAATGGTTTGAAAATAATAAAAAAAAATGTAAACGATATTGTTTATATATTAGTATTATGAATTATTATTATTTTTTTTTTCTTTTTTTTTTTTCTTTTTTTTTTCTATTGTAGTACTGGTGGGAGCCTAAACAACCTTTACAAATTGCATTCTGGTCAATGTCAACTGCCTGTTTATTATTGATGGTAGTTTCGGTAGTTTGCTGTATGCTTTGGCGTAATGCCAAAAGGTAAGAAAAGATAAACAGAACCAAATCCATGTGACTACATTTAACTGGGTGAGATTAAATCCATAGTTTTGTAGTGTATAGGGACATTGGTTCTGGTATTTTTATTCTTTTTTATTTTTATTTATTTATTTATTTTTTTTTTTTTTTTTTTTTTTTTGATTTCATTACATTAACAGTTTATCATTAAATATAATAGAGTTTTGCACAATTTTATTAAATTATTGTATATATATAATTGGTGGTATATTTCACTATTAATTATATAATTTACATTCATTATGATATGTTTGCTTAGCAAAACATTAGCTGCCAGGATGTACGCAGGTAATTCATAAAATATAGAATTGTGCATGATATCACAAATTTAATTTAATTTGTTTACACGCTGATTTATAAGACATTAGTATTTCACGTTTGTAAATTATATCACGTTTATAAATAATATCATATATTTTGTAATAATAAGATTAAATTTTTGTGATATATTTAAAGTGACATTTATTATATTTTTGATTTTTTTTTTTTTTTTTTTTCTTACAGACAATCTGATCACTACTATAGCGGAGACATCTTGATGATACGAGAGGATGAACATTCGTCGGAAGGAATCGAAAATTTGAATCGTGCTTCTAAAGAAAATATATACGAGTATCGTGATTTACCACCAAGAACTAGAGTACCACGACAGAATGAAGCGAGATTACAAGAACGTTTAGCGCAGAATAGAAAATTTAGTTCAACGCCATCGTTAAGAAGTAATTCAAATGTATCTTTAAAAGATATGAGATCAGAAGGTTTTGTTACGAGCTCTCCAAATGGTAAACCTAGGCTCAATAAAGCCGCCAGTCAATCTACACTGCCCAAGATTAAAAGTAAAACACAATTAGTACAAGGTGTACCACAAACAGCTGTTTAAGCAGGTTAGTTTATAAATACCAGTTTTTAACTTTTTTTTTTATTTTTATATATATATATATATATATATATATATATATATATATATATAAATATTATAAAAATCTGAATTAAAAATTCGGGACATTTTTGAAAAATAAAGATCTAAAGACTAATTAATAGAACATTTTAGAAATATTTTCTGAAAATATAATAACAAATGATGTGCCATAAAAGAACCTTTGAGAAGCAGCTATTGAGAACTGATATAATAATAATGGCGGCTATATATAATAATAGCTAAAAATACAACAATTTTTATAAAGGTTCTAACATCAATTTATGGTACTTAATAAAAATGATTAAATGTTATCGAATACAAGACATTCCTAGAGAATCAAAAGATTAATTTTAATCGCATTATTACCATTATATAATAAGGATAATATTTTATACAACCTTTTGCAGAAAAATATCTTTATTTTTACTGCAATTTATCCGTCCATTATATCTTAGAAATATATAGAAAAAAAATATATGTATATTCTGGTACAATGTATATATCAAAAGATACTTCGAAATAATTACATGGATTTAATAATATAAGTTTAATTATCGTACTATTTTGTAAAAAAAAAAAAAGAAAAAAAAAAAAAGAAAAAGAAAAAGATTATTGAGTTTACTAAAAGATATTATTTGCTGTAGCACATAATTAAATTTATAATGAAAATATTTTCCAATTCATAGTTGGGATAATATATCTCGTTAGAAAAGCAAGAAGATTGTATATATCAAGTTTTTTATAAATCTTTTTTCTAGCATATCAATCAAAGTTCAATACAATTTTATTTGATAATGATAAGATTGGTGTCTTATGATATGAAGATTTTTTTCTTTTTTTTCTTTTTTACTTCTATTAATCAAATGAGATTTTTATTTGTAATATATAAACATATATATATATAAATGATTTCTTTTATATATATATAGAATAAAAGTCAGATATATTTATATATTCTGCATTATTGCAAATACGATCAAATACGATGACTTTTATTCATCTTTTATTAGCTACATGTAATATTATTTCTGTGCTATGTTTTGATAATATATATATATATATATTATATATATATATATATTTTCATTTTATGGATATAAGTATAAAAAAGATACATATGATAATATATGTACAATACTTTTGTATAGTATTTTTAAAGATATATTTGAAAAATGATTATACTATATTTAAAATAAGTTAATATTTTAATTATTTTAAGAATACGTAGTAAATTTACTACATGCACATTTTGACTCAAGGTACCTATCACAAATGCATTATTTATATCATAGTTTAACTTATATGTTTAACAAAAGAATATATATACATTTATATATATATATATTTTTTTTTTATATTCCTCATAAATATGTCAGCTTCGATGTACAAGTGCAATGCATTTCTACGCATGAAAAATAGATTCCTAGATGATAGTCGTCTATTCAGATAATTTTCATAATTATTATTTATATTTTTAACTGAACAAATTATTTCATTATTACTGTAAACAATATTTTACCATTAGCGATCTCATTACTATTGACATTATATTATTGTAATATTGATAAGTATATTTTGCGTTGGATGATTTCTCATGTTGCTTGCGAACAGAAGTATTAATAAGATATATATTTATATAAACATGTTTCAATTTTTTTTTGTTGCTTTTTTGTTTTTTTTTTTTTTTTTTTTTTCTACATTCAGACTCGTGATTTATATACAAAGAGATAGAAAATATAAAACGTAATAAAAATGAGATACAAAGTAAATAATACATTAAAAGAGTGTTAAACAAATTGAATAATAAATTATATTTATAAGAATCAACGAGTTATTACTGAACCAAAATAAAAATGTAAAAACGCATTCAAATATGCCGCCATTCTTAACAACCAATAGCGTCGTGCTATAAAAGCCGCCATCTTTTCATATATTTGAATGCGTACAAATTTTTTCAAGACGAATTAATGTCATAACGATTTTCATTTTTTAAGTCAGACGATGATTAGAAAGTTCTTTTCTTTTTTGTTTTATATATAATGTTAATGCTAACTTTTCAATATAGTAAAAATGGAAATTAAAAATCGATATTCTATTTAAGAGTTAAATTTTCTTTTCTTTTTTTTTTTTCATCTATTACAAATCTTATATTGCTGTTGGTTAAATGTATTGTCATTAATTTGTTATTAATCATTTTATATATATTATATGACGAAGATTTTATATGGAATTAAAATCAATCTGTTAAAATGAATTCTACGGATACAGAGGTGAGCTCAAGTCTACGATTATATTAAATAAAATATAATATCACGTTTATGTTTATTATTTTTATTTGATTACTCTATATAGGATGCTTTATCAATTGGGAAAAAGAGAGAAGATCGTGGAATACAATTGAAGTATAGATTTGATCCATTGAATCTCGATGTGAAATATCCTGACACTGCAATATTACTTTTGCAATGTCAAGAAAATACAATACTTTTGAATGCTGCAGCTGCATTATCCAAATATGCTACTAAATCTGATGAAAATATACGTATACTTTTTGATCTTGATATCGTTAAAAATATAATACCATTGATCAATCATGAAGATTTATTTACACGAAGGTTAGGAACATTTTATGATCAAAAAAAAAGAAAAAATAGATCAATATTTTAAAATATTATATTTATAATATTTCATATGTTTATAATAAACAAATACAGATTTGCTGCAAAATTATTAGCTGAAATGATGGCTATACAATCGGTTAAAGATTTCTTATTGGAATCCGATTATTATATACCTTATTTCACAAAAGTATTAATCAATGAACAGGATTTATTTATGCAAGAATTTTCTTCGGTTATACTCGTTGAATTATCGAAAGAAATTTATGGTATCGCTCGATTGTTAGAACAATGTCCAAATATGAATTTTCTTTACGAAAGAATACAATCTACAGATCCAGACGTAAAGAAAAATAATATAGAAATAATATACAATCTGATACAGGATCCGATAGGCGTCCAAGAGATTATTAATGCTGAAGTTAGTATAACAAATATCATTAAACATATATACATATATATAGTATATATTTACTAGATTATATTCATATATATTTACTATTGAAATATTTTTATATATTTTATAATATTATAATATAAAATAAATAATCATTATAGAATTTTAGTTTTCCTTTGATATATCGACTTTTTCAAGAACCTTATCCAGAGATTCAAAATATAGCCTTAAACGTTATTGGTGAATTATTGGCAAGGAATAAGGATGAATATATACAAAATCTTTTTCGACAGACAAAGGGTTTAGATGCACTGTTAAATTTTCTTGATGTAAGAAATCTTTGTAGGACAATTCTATATATCTGTTAGTAGTGTTATCTAATTCGTTCAGAATGACGATTGGCGTGACTTACATTCCAAAGTATTGAAGATACTCAGCTTGGCTTCGGATAATCATAAAACGATAGAATTATTGAATAGTATTGGTGGTATTCAAAGAATTTATAAATACATGGAAAATACATCAAATTCAAAACTATTTGCGGATGCTTTTGATGTTGTCATTCATTTTGCTGATATTCATATTGGAAGAAAGGTTTCGTAAAATTTATTCTTTTATTTCGTTATAATCATAGATTTATTGTCTGTTAAAAGATATTTCTTTTCATTTTCTTTTCCTTTTTCAAAGGCATTATATTTGAATGGAATTGTTGATCATTTGATTAATACATTACAAAAAATTGTACAACCTGATATGTATCTTACAATATGTTATGGCATTGGCAAAATGGTTTTGTATGGTCCTGCTAATGAAAAATTATCTACCGAAAATGTTATCAAAAATATTTTAGGTTTTAAACATATATTTTGTCGTTCGTTCATAATAATAACGTATAAAGATTTCCCTTACGAAATTCATTTATTGTATTTTTCTCAGATGTATTAAAGAATGATAATTTAAAATGGATTACGAGGAAATCGGCGATGTTTGCGCTTAATGAATTATTCAATAGCAATGCGGATAATTGCGAGAATTTCTTGAAACTTCATGGCGAGGTAAATAAGAAAATATTTATCGATGTAAATTTAAATGAAACGAAAGGAAATTTTTTTATTAGCGAATAAAATCGAAGAATTTTCTTTAATCGTCCTTATTAAAGAATTATTGATGCTTGATAGAATCCAATCAAGAATAATTATGTATTATGTATTGATGCAAATTTTTCTTTCTTTCTTTCTTTCTTTCTTTCATTTTAGGATTATTTAATATGGCTGATCAAACAATCATACGAAAATGTACCATTAGAAATTCGACTGATAGCTGTTCAAGCACTGATCGTTATAGGAAATCATTCGACGTTGAAAAATTTTGTGATTAAAGATGAAACTATAGATGCTTTGTGTACACTATTCGAGGCACGTTTATTTCGATCATCGTAAATAATAAAATATTTAATGAATCTATCGTTTCCTATTTTTTTTTCTTTTTTTTTTTTTTTTTTATAATTCATTAGGTAGATTGCCCAAGCATGGACGAATTTAAAGTAATTTCTTGCCAAGCTCTTTCAATGTTCTGCGTTGATAAAATCGGAAGGGATGCATTTCTCAAAATTCACGGTCCGTCTAAATTATATTATTTACTATCAGATTTGCATTCTATTCCGGTAAGAAATGCTGCAGTTCAATTAATTCAATTATTATCCGCTGATCCAGTTTTGGCAAATGTATTCGTACAGACAAAGTATTTGTCATAGTAAGCTCATTATATTTATGTTATATAATTATTAATTGATTATTAATTTTTATTGGATATATTAAAAGAAAATTAATAACATATATATATATGTATTTATTTATTTATTTATTTATTTATTTATATACACATGTATATGATAAAATTATTTATTGTATAATTAATTATTAATCGTTTAGCATGTTGAATAATCGTGTATCGACAAGGATCATACCATCATGGGATACTTGCATAGAAGCTCTTTTTAATTCTCATTTACCAGCCAAATTTGCATTCACCGGTCGACTTTCATTGCACGATATAACCGAAGATGGTTTTTATGTTTTACGTCAAAATATTTGCCCGTATGTATTCTATCATTTAATTAATTAAATCAATTGAATAAGTCAGATGTAATTTGTTTTTAATAACACATAAATTATTTTTAGATTTCCTGTATTAAATGATATATTTCGTTTTAAATTTTGTCCATTGGAACCTGTTTATGTAGTGAATACAGCACGATCATATTCTTCGATTACTACAAATAATAATAATGATAATAAAAATAATGACAAAAATATGGAAGGTATAATAGAGAAATATTTTCCATAATAAAAAGTCTCTTGAGAATATTTTCTTTTCTAATATTAATTTAATTCTTCATTTGTTTCTTTTTTCTTTTCTTTTTTTTTTTTTTTTTTTTTTTAGAAGCTAAAAATTCGATTATAAACGAGAACGCTTCAAAAGGAATATTTCTATCAGACGAAATTCTAAATAGTTGGTTGCAATTAATGTTTGGTCGATTGCAATTAGATCCGTATCTCTGTGAATATATTGATATTTTAAAATGCAAACTTGTAGCTATGGAATCGAAAGATTTGTGAGTATAACGAAGAATAATTATATTATTATATAATAAGTATATTTCTTTAGATCAGTAATTTTTATTCTCTATTATCCTTTATCTCTATTATTTATTATTTATCCATTATTTCAGATCACACTGTATTATCTAACTTCTATATTTTCTTCTATCTCTCTCTCTCTCTCTATTTCTCTCTGTCTATCTATTATATTTATTATATATGTTTATCAACTATTATATCTATTTCTATTATCTATTATCTAATTTATTTTATTTTATTTATTTATTTCTTTTTCTTCTCAAATAATCAACTTCTCAAAACTAATCAAAATTAAAATCACAAAAGAGATGTTAGATTAGTTCAAGGTTAGACAAAATAGATATAATTAATTATGTTTATCCTATATTAAGAACTAATCCATGATAATTAGGATGGAGTAATATACAGGGTGTCTGAAAAATATGTATACATCGATTAAAATAAGATTTAATTTCTTTTAATCAGAATTAAACGTAAAAGAAATAAAAAAGATAAATTTTGAATTTTCTTATAAATTATTACAAATTAATATTGTATGTAATAAAATTTGATCAAATCGATTGCACAAAAAAAGGAATAAAAATTTAATGAATTATTGCCTATAAAAATGTAAGATACACACACACACATATATATATATATTTTTTTTGTTTTGTTTATATATTATAGAATAATCAATGAAGAACCAAATTTGGTAAACATTTGTACCATCGCTTCGCGTGCAAAAATGTTAGCCGAGTTCGTTGCACGTCAAATGTCAGGACCTGACCCTAGTGGCACGTGCGTAGATCATCAATTAGAAGTCCACTTGAGAGAGATCAAAGAATCCATAGGAACGAGCGTGATTCCTCTCGGACAGCTGCGTGTCGGTTCTTATCTAGAAAGAGCAGTACTTTTTAAAGTATTAGCTGATAAAATATGTCTTCCAACTGCTTTGGTACGAGGAGAATATGGTACCGCTTGGGTCGAGATTGCTATACCACAAGTATATTTATTAGCATATACATATATATATATATTTATATATAATTTGTATTTTTTAATATTCATATATTTTCATTTTATTTTATTTTATTTTATTTTATTTTATTTTTATTCTTTTTAAAACTGTAGTAGTATCCAATATATTTATATACAATTCATATTTCATTCATTCATTCATTCATTCATTCATTCATTTATTTATTTTTATTTCTAAATTGAAATATATCTATATATAATTCGTATTTGTTAATATTTATCATTTTATTTATTTATTTATTTATTTATTTATTTATTTATTTATTTATTTATTTTCTCTTTTTTCTAGATCGAGGTACCACCCGAAGACACTTGTTTTATGGAATATTTAATGAAAGAAGGACCATGTACCGATTGGATCGTAAGGGATATCTCATTATTGGAAGAAAATCAATTATCGTCGAAGAAAATATTTTCGCAGGTTCAAAGTGTAAGTAATATCGTTGTACCATGGAAATTACAACAATCAATTTTTCCATCGAAGTTAATGAAACCTAACGTTATAGTAGATTTGATAGAAAAACCTGGTCGATTTATATCAATCGATAGTGAATTGGGTAAAGCATATAGAAGTAAAAAAATCGTTTGCGATTTGATATGTTCGTCTGAATTATGAGATTTATTTTTGAAAAAAAAAAAAAAAAAATAGAAACAAAAAAAATCTTTTCAACTTATTAAGAAGAATTTTTTAATTTTTCATCCTACGTGTTACAATTAATGCATTCCTTTTTCTTCTGTTTTTTTTTTCTTTTTTTTTTTTTATTATTTAATTTAAAAATATTGTTTTTGTAATTTGTTAACAGCGTTCGTTTGCCATTGAAAATTGTTATAACAAAAAGGATTCTTGTTTTTTTAATTCAAAGAAACTTGATTTGAGTGTGTGTGTGTGTGTGTGTGAGGGGGGGCAGTGACAAGTATTATAAAACATAGTACTTGTGTATTATTTATTTTAATAACAAAATATAAAATATTATTTACACTCGTATCATTGCGTTTGATGTAATTATCATAAAGCTATTAATAAAAGCTCATTAATATATAATAACGAAATTGTAACAAAGATATTATTGATGAACATTACATACCATTTTATTATAATTATATTGTAAAATAAACATCAAACGCGTTATATCGAAATACTGTCGGAAAAAAAAAAATATATATATATATAATGAAATTACATGTATACGTGGTATGTATATAAAAGTTATGCGTTAGAAATGGATGAAAGAAATGTTGACGTAGCATGAAATCATGAGCAATTATAGAAAAAAAAAAAAAAATTAAAAAAAAAATTAAAAAAAGAAAAGAAGAAAACTCTATCAAACAAATTATGTCTATGTATGTACATTACATTCTTTTTCATGAAAAACAAAAAAAGAAAAGAAAAAACAAGAACGGGGATACGTCCCGTTGATTTTACATTGATCTAAATATAATTTTAAAAACGACGATAAGACGTTCATATCATCACTATGGTGGTAATTGTGTTGATGGATGCCTTTGCTGTCTGGACTCGCCTAATTTAACTAAACCAAAGAAACTCTTGTCGTGTTGAAAAAGTGTATATCTATCTATACCAATGTCTTTAAGAATCAAAATGTCTCCAGCTTGAAGAATGGTCACCTGTGCCGAGAAACAAGATCGACTTTTGTGACCAACGCTCGGACTGAAGATCTAAAAGAATAAAAAGAAAAAAAAAAAAAAAAAAAAAAAAAGAAACGAGAAAAAACGAAAATTAATTTTTATATTCGATTGTTTTGATTTAATTTAATTTTAAATTTCAATTGCACAGCAATTACCGTGCATTGAAACAATGGCCTGTTGTTTATCAATAAATGAAAACCATTTTCATCGTGTTCATCCAAATAATGAATTTGTGCATAAACCAAATATAATCCAGGCTCGTGGACAGTGAGTTTACCGTCATTGGCTAAAGCAAAATATTTATTCATCCCTAAATCTGATACCCAGTCGCTTGGTCTCCAAGCTTTGAAGATACCATTTCCATGACGAGCTCGGCCATTACCGGTATGTTCATCATCTTCAGAGAATAATATGCTATCGGCGCCATAATGTATTGCACAAACCTGACGAGGTGCTCTCAAATGACGTCTATTAACTGCTCGACGTAATCCTTTAGAAACGTTTGAGATCTCCTAGAAAATTTATTATATTATTTATTTACTTTTTTTTGTTTTGTTTTATTTCTTTATTTCTTTATTTTATTATTTAATGATGAAAAGAAAAAAAAAAAGAAAGAAAGAAAGAAAAAAAAACGAGAGAAATGAAATTTCCTAATCAATTATTCAATTGATCTTTTAATTAAAAATAAATCCGATCGAACGTTTCTTCTTTCTTCTTCTTTTTTTTTTCTTCTTCTTATTTATTTATCTTATTCAATCGAAGATATCGTTTGTACGTTTTTTTTTGTTGCGATTTACCATATTGTCGTGAGCTTGTTTCCAATTGGCTCGATCTGTATAATCCTTTTCTCCTTCATCAGGCTGCAGAATTGATCGAGCAATTTCGTCGCTTAAATTATCGTCATTGTAGCGACTCGAAGGAAATGCCCGAGACGTTTCCGGATGCGTGTGGGAGTTAAATTTCTTTGGAGGATGTCTTTCCGAGGAAATGATTGATCTAAAGGTATAAATTGAATAAGCACAAAATATTTATATTATTATTTTTCAAGAGTTTAGAAAGAAATAGAAAATACATCTCGAGTTATACTTCATTCATATATTTCTTTAAATTATTTCGAACTATTTCATGTATCAACGTACAATTATTATCAATAATAATAATAATAATAATAATTGCAATAATTAATAATAATAATAATAATAATAATAATAATAATAATAATAATAATAATAATAATAATAATCAAGGAAGAATGATAGATCAGTAGGTATGAAAGGAGCAAATAATTTATATAATTATTTTTAAAAATTTATAAAAAGAATTATTTTATAAATATTTATAAATTAATATTTTTACGATGAACTATTTTTCAAATATCGAAAAAAAGAAAAAATTCAACAAAATATTTAATAAAAATCTAGCTCAAGTTGATACATAATTACGTGTTAATAATAATAACAATGACTATTATTTCCTTAAATCAATCAATGAAGTAGATGGATGAGAAAGAAAGAAAGAAAGAAAGAAAGAAAGAAAGAAAGAAAGAAAGAAAAACAAAAAAACAAAAAACATACTAAATAAAATCTTTACTCACTCGGGCAAAGAACGATCATTAATCGCTATTTTTCCAGAATCATCGTTGTTATGAAAACGATGCCTCGACGATCCAATTTTTCTTTGAGTTTGATTTCTTTGACGTGAAGTTCTATTCGTAACGGCACCATCGTCCGAATGATTTTCCTCCCTTATCGATCTTTTCCTTTTGATCGGATCGAGATCAACGGCGTCAAGATTTTTTTCCTTATTACGAAGATCATCGTCGAATCTTTCTTTTATATTGTCCTCGTTGTTCGCGAGTAAATCAACGTTCTCGAAACGTTCACGTTCAAGATTACGATGACTTTCGCGGACATTTTTTTCAAATTTTTCACCTTGCTTAGCTTCGGCTTTCCTTAATGCGGCAAATAATTCAACCAATGCCTTATCCGAAACAGGATCCTGAGTGGACGTCGATTCGAAATCGGTAGACATTGATTTTGACGTTGACGTTGACGTCGTTGTTTTTGTTTTTGTTATTGTTGACTTAGTAGTCAATCCTTTAGAGATGTCGGAGTTCTTTGAAATAATGGATAAGGTGCGATAATCACTGGAATAATCGTGTGACGACGATGACGACGACGACGACGATGACGAGGACGAGGAAGACGACAATGACGACGATGATGACGAGGATGAAGACTCGTCATCGTAATTCGAATCGTATTCTGCGTTATCGATATCCACCTCACCTGGATCTTCCTCGTCTGCAGATTCTCCGGCATAAAGCTGTAACAACGATCAATATTGAATTATTTATATCTGTTGTTTACATTTCTCTTTTTTTTCTTTCTCTCTTCTTCTTTCTTTTTTTCTTTTTTTTTTGTTGATTTACATTTATATTATCATTCTTTATTATCATATTTTATTTCTATTATTACACATTACGTAATATAAGAAATCATCGTATCATTTTATAATTGATATTATTTATACTTCTTTAAATTTAATTATTTATACTTGTTTAGATTTTTTTTTCTTTACTTTTTTTTTTTTGTTTTTATTTACTTTATATCATTGCTTTTTATTTATCATATTTTATTTCTTATACTTTTATATTATATTATTTCATATATCACTTTTCTTTTTTATTATTACATATTATTACACGTATTTTATCATTTTATTACTATCTACTATTTATACTTTTGATACACTATGCATATGCATGTATGTAGATAAATGCATTCTTTGATATTAATCTTTTATATTATTATTTTAATAGATTATTATGTTATTTACATTGTTGTTGTTGATTTTTTTTCTTTTGTTAATAAATTAATTCAAATAAAAATTATTTTGAAATTTAAACGTATCTCAAAAGTTATATCCCGATAGATCTCATTTTGATAAATATCAACGATATTCTCTATATGTATATAAATATTAATTCTATGATAAATCATACGCTACGTATTAGTTCTCAGTATGAATTATTCAATTGCGATAATATTATCAATCAACTTGTTTTACATTACTCGAACAAGTATGTTTATTTATAGATACATATATACCGTTTATATATATATATATATATATATATATATATATATATATATATATAAATATCTGATAATTGTATTGTTGAATATTATTTAAAGAATCTCTAATGATTAATTAATCATTTTTCTTTTTTTTTTCTTTCTTTTGAAAAAAAAATTTAATATCTTTAAAACCATTCCAATCTAATTTTCGATAGGAACGAAATAAGTTTATATATATATATATATAAAAAAAAGAAAAAAAAAACGAAAACGAAAAAGAAAAAGAAATATTTAATTATTATTAAATAAATATGAATAAAACGACAAATGATATATATTTCAAATTATTCGATATAATATGAATTTATTCGTAATAAATATGAATGAAGTAACGAAATGTAATAATAATTAATGCGTATAAGTATGGACAATTCTAAACATTAAAATCACGTTCATCAAATTTAATTACGCGGAAATCCGAGTTCATTGATCGTTGAACTCTACTTGCAAATGTAACACCAACGCAAACTTTATCGTCTAACGCGTTAGAATTAAACGATAACCTTTATTTCTCTTTTATTCCTTTTTTTTTCTTTTTTCTTTTTTTTTAATATTTTTTCTTTTCTCTCATGTTTATATTTATTAACTTGTTTGAACGAAGAACGAAGAGAGATAAAAAATTCATCGAATGTCCAAATTGATTCGATTAAAAAAAAAATAATTCCTTATTCTTTTTCACAATCTTTCAGAATGGAATTATAATTATCACTTTCTATTTACAAAAATGTATCTAATCTTTTATCTTTATCTCATACCACACGAAGGATCCAAAGATAAGAAATAGAAATTACTTGAAACTTTACGACGTTTATACTTATTTAATGTTATAATTCTAAACCACAAATTTTCATTATTCCAAGGGGAATTATGTGAGTTATTATAATTTACTATATTATAATAATAATAAATTTCTTTTTCTTCTCTTTTTTTTTTCTAATATTTTGTTCAAACTTTATCATCAAACTTTTAAGTTCGTATGAATTAGCAATAATATGACCATGTACGTATAAGTCCGTGAAATTTATTTTCTCAAAAATTATAAACGTAATTTACGTAATTAAACGAAATGACATTTCAACGAGAATACTTTATCACGTTAGATTTTAATCTAAGTAATGCAAATGTACGAAAGAGGAAATCTTTATTATTATTATTATTATTATTATTATTATTATTATTATTATTATTATTATTATTATTGTTGTTTTCTTATGGAGATAAGATTCAATATAATATACAAGGAAATTTATAGAAGTTTTCATTGAAATTCTCGACGAGTTTGCCGTTCTTAGAAAAAACCGGTTTGTTTACGTACTCATACACACACACATAATATGTATATATATATATATATATATATATGTATATATATATATACTCTGCCGTATCTAATATCAGTAATCTCCGTTACAAATAAAAATCTATTATTGTCAATGCCTTTCGTAATAGAATCATTGATTTCTGTCTGAGTGAAAGACAGATAGAGAGAAAGACAGAGAGAGAGAGAAAATAAAGAACAAATATAAAAATAGAGAATAATATCATATTATCAAACAAAACTGTTTACAATACGATTACTTATCAAATAATCAAGCTAAACAGTCTTATAAACGTAACTAATTAATTCTTTTATATTTGTATACATGTATGTGTGTATGTGAGAAAGAGAAAGCGTGAGAGAGAGAAAAGGCAAAAAAAAAAATATATATATATATATATTATTTAACAAGATTTTTTTAAATTAATTTTTTTTTTTAATAGTCGAGTTATAAAATCCTATAAACATAAATAATATATATATATATATATATATATATATATATAAATGTAATTAATAAAATAATGAATTTGTTGAATCTTACCTGTTCCTCGAATGCTTTCAATTCGTCCAAAAGATCTTGTTGTAAAAATCTATGTTTTAGACTTTTAACATCTCTTTTCAATTCTTCGATCTCACGAGAATTGACCAACGAACAACGTAATTTCCATGTTTCCAAAGCGAGACATAAAAGTGCTATTAACAATGCGACTGTACTTAATACAGTATATTTGTTTGGTCTGAAACGTTGTTTGTTAAAGCCCCGTTCCAAATCAGCCTGCGATATACTCAAGTTTTCACGTGAAAAGTTTAAAAAGGAACGCGTTTCTTCCTTTACATTCGAACGATTCAAAAGTTTTTGTTTCAATTTCATAGCGTTCCCACCCCCGCCATCCTCATCGGACAAGACAGTAGTCATTTTCGTATATATATATATATTTTTTTTTTCTGTTAACTAACCAAACTAGATCACTAGATTATCTTATCTATCTCTCCACTAGGGATTATAATAATATATCACTAGATCGAATCAATTATAAATCATTTGTTTCTTGTCATTGCATTTTTACGATAGTCGTGATAATTGTCATTAATCTCTTCTTCGTTTTTTTTTTTTCTTTTGTTTCGTTAGGTCTCACCAATCCACGTAATCATAATAATAAAAATTTTTGTTTCGGTCTTATCTTGCGTGCTTCGAAGATGAAAAAATCTGATTTATTAGATCAGTATACCTGGATCATCTAAATAAGAAGCAAAAAAAAATCTATCAGAGAGATAAGAGATATTGAATCAGAGATTTTTTATATGTGCATGCATCTATATATGTATATATGTATACATATATATATATATATATATATATGTATGTATTTATGTATATGTATGTATGTACGTATGCATTTAAGGTCGACGGATGCATTCGTACGATCTACCTGCACTTTTAAGGACGAAACGTTAATCACGCGAGGAAGATAGAACAATGCTTTTGTTCGACGCATTTCGCAGATAGTTATTACGATCTTACTCGTCGTAATATAATAATAATGGGGAAAATAAAAGCTGATAAATATACGTTCTGTCATTATTCCTTCACATTTTTTTTCTTTTTCTTTTTACTTGTGTTTACTCTTCGAGAGATTTATTTTTGGAAGGAATGGACGAAGGTCGGAAGACTCTGCCTTTTGACGATTAGAAAAATATAATGAATATAATAAATATTGTGATAGCAGAGTATTTGTTTTCTTTCTTTCTTTCTTTTTTTTCCTTTTTTTTTCTTTTCTTTTTTTTTTTTTTTTTTTTTTTTTTTTTTTTTTTTTTTTTACTACAAATTCTAATAAATTTTTTTATGCCGATGCTATCTAACTGCAATTAGATTGGACAATATATAATTTCATAATTCTTATTATTTTAGAGATCTATAAAACGAACAAAGAAAGCGATATATTTTTTGAGTATCTTGTAACGAATTTAAATGGTTTTTCTTTTTTTTTTTTTTTTTTAAATTAATAGAACCTAATAATAATTGCAATTCGATTGGATAATAAGCAATGTCGAAATCGTTAATATTTTATAATTAAATAGAAAGCACGGTATTATTATTTTTTTTTTTTTTTTTTTTTTTTTTTTTTTTTTTTTTTTTTTTTTTTTTTTTTTTTTTTTTTAGTAAACATTGAAACAAATTTAGTATCGATTCAACGTAAACATTATTGGATTGGCTGATAAATAATTTCAAAATTTGTAATATTCCATATCTAAATAAACAATAATATATCCTCAATATTTCTCTCCCCTCCCAATATCACACCATACAGCTCCAATGTTATTAGTATTAGAATATTGGTCAATAAAGGAGTATTAAAAACTCAGGGACATATTCATGAGTAATAATTAATGTTGGTCAAGATTTGGACGTTCGTCCTTCGAAATAAATCTAATAAATTAATTGCGATTAAAGAGTGGGAAGAGACGAGAAAAGGAAAAGGAGAAAATAATTTCCAAGACAATGAACAAATTTCTCTAGAGAGTGAGAATCCGAGCGAAGATCAAAAAAAAAGAAAAAGAAGGGGAAAAAAAACGAAAGGAAAGACAAAAAGAAAAAGATAAGCAAAATTTGATAAAAATAAATCGAAAATCCTATTCGAAGATTTACGATGCACCGAAACGTTAAATGTCTGGTACACCGATCCTGTCCCCCTTTAAAACCTGTTAGGTAGGTTTTTTCTTCTCCCGGTTCCTGGAGAGAGGACCGACGGCAAAGAAAAATAAAAAGACGAACCAGCTTATAGATATATACACCTGAGAGGTCGAGGCAACCACAGTCCTTCCTCCCTTCGTCCTCTTCTTTCTCTCTCTCTCTCTCTCTCTCTCTTTTTGTCTCTCGACCCTTCGTTCTCTTCTTTCTTATTTAGAACCCACTAACCCAGGATCGATTTTTATCTCACAAATTCGACCGACCTGCCCGACCTGCTGTTGCAATCGTTCGATAAAAAAAGGAAAAAAAGAGAGAAAAGCCAAAAAAAGAAGTACAAATAAATTGGCCGCAAAGAAGAAGAAAAAAAAAGGACCGATAACACTATGGAAAAAAAAAAAAAAGACAAAATTAATATTATAAAGTAACAAATGATTTTATTCGATATTTTGTCTTCAATTAATTCAAGTGGTACAGAGAAATGTTTACATATAAAAAAAAAAAGAAAAAAAAAAAAAAAAAAAAAAAAAAAAAAAGGAACGATCAGTAAATATCAATAAAGAAAATCAACAGAAAAGAACAAAAATAATTAAATTTACAATATTCTTGTTCGATTACGTCTCTCAATTATTCGCCCCTCCCTCCCTCCCCCCCCCCAAAAAGAAAAGAAAGAAAAAGAAAATAACAGGAGAAAATTTTTCCTTCCTAGTTCGACGATAACATTTTTAAAACAAGAGGACGATGAAATAACGATAACAATAATAACAATAATAATAATAACAACAACAATAACAACAACAACAACAACAACAACAACAAATTAGGTGATCAAAAACCTTTTGTCAAATTCACGCATCCACCAAGTACAATTGCGAACGTACATTACCGGAGGGGAAAAAGAAAAAAATGAAAAAGAAGAAGAAGAAGAAGAAGAAAAGGTAAAGAGAAAAGAAGAGGAAAGATTATGAAAATGTTGGTCGAGGATGAAAATATTTAGAAGCAAAGGAAAAAAAAAAAAAAAAAACGAAAAAAAAGAGCAGAAGAAAAGAAATAAAACGATTGGACACGTTCCCCGACGTTTTAAGATGATTGTGGAAGAACGGTGCACTAAACAACGAAAACGATAAACTGCGTCACAACCGACGTCTTCGAGCAACTCGAAAGAACTGACTTAACGATCGACTACGAGCATATACGAGAGAGGAGACCGTTTATCACCGGCTTGGCGTCTTTCAACTCTTCTTCGACATTATTGCTGATGACTTTCAGGACACCATTATTATCTATATCGCTTAAATATCTCCCATCTTTTTCTCTTTATTTTCTTTTTATTTTTTTTTGTTTCTCTCTCTCTCTCTCTTTTTTCTTTTCATTTCGAGCGTTAGAATCGTAAAAAAATTTACATTAGATCGCGTCAATACATTGCGAATGTATTTTCTTTTTGTTTGGTAAGTATTTCTTTTTTTTTTTCTTTTTTTTTTTTAATTGATTAGCGACAAGCATTTTTGTAAAATAAATAACACTCGGTATAAGTCATTACGTTTAAAATTTTATTTTTATATCTTCGGTACGTGTGCGCGTTTATTCGAATTAATTATATATACTGATTTTATCTTTTTTAAGATATTGAAAAAAATTTCAAAACATCGCAAAGTTTGCGCATCGATCGATGTATAATACCGTACGTTTTTATATTACGCATTGATGTTTTATCATAAATACTGATCATTTATTTAATATACCGATTGAAAAATACTGATTCGATTAATAATAACCTCGTAAATGACGTTAAGATATTTTACTTGATTTTCTTTTCTTTTTTTTTTTTTTTATCGATCAATCCAATAATACAGTACATTAAATTTTATCAATTAAAAAATTGTTCTTTTATTTTACACCACCAAAGTATATTAAATATGTTATTTTTTTGTTTTTGTTTCTTATTATTATTTAAAAAATAAAATATTAAAAATTCTGACACATTGCTTATCGGCACAACACAAGAAATTTATCATTGAACATTATTCGCTTATATATTTCTATATAATAATAATAGAAAATTGTTGATCATTTTTTTTTAATAATAATAATAATAATAATAATAATAATAATAATAATAATAATAAACTTTTTAATTTCTTATTTTTTAATTATGATACATTTTTATTTATATAATTATTCGCATAATTTTTCTTTTTCTTTTTTTTTCTTTTTATTTAAAAACAGAAAAAGAGAAAGAAAAGAAACAGAACAAAAAAGTCTTTATATTAGCAAAGACGAATCAATTTCGATGATCGAAAACGAAACGTTAAATTTTTTCATTAACGGCACACTTTCTCTTATTTTGTAAACGTAAACAAATTATATACTAATGTATAAAAAGTACGGAACTATATATATATATATAAAAAAAAAATCGCTCTTCATTTTGATTGTCTCCTTGTATTAAAGTACTAATTATAAGAACTATCACAGAAAGGAATCAAATTGCAATACCACGATAACCCGACGAACAGAGTTATAGCAATCTATCCACACCTGCAATAACGAGAAGTTGATCGTGATGTAATCCTCGTTGTTACGTCTTCGGTTACAGTTATATCATGAAAGCTCTTCTCGGATTTCGCATAATCTGAATAAAGAGAATATAAAAAAAAAAAAAAGAAAAAAAAAATATAATAATAATAATAAAAAATAAAAAATAAAAAATAAAAAATAATACAAAAATAAAATAAAATAAAATAAAATAAATAAAAATAGAAAGGAAAAAGAAAAAAAGAAAAGAAAAATATCGAAAGACATTAACACCATGATCACGGTCACATCAAGATCCATCGATCATGACGATATATATATACGTTGGATATAATTGATGGATAGATACATACATACATATATATATATATATGTATCCATCAATTCGATTAATTTTTCGAATATTTTCATTCGTTATGAATGTTTCTTTGTAATAATCATTCGTAACAGATGTCAAGGCTTATCTAATATGATAATGAGAAGGTAATTTGTTCGAAAAAGAAAAAAGAAAAGAAATGACAATCGGATTGATTACGTTTTCGTTAATGCCAAATAGAAGTTGTATTTCTCAATAGGTGCTGACCAGCGATGACATCATTCGGTCGATGATAAAATTCCATGATGAAGGACCTTTCCTGGAACATGTACGGCCAGCTGTGTTACACTAACCACATAGAAAATGATACGAGAGATTATGAGCAAAGAGTTAAATTATTTTCTTGTGATGTCACGTATGAAATTCAATTATAATTAATATTTATATACACATATACACATACATACATACATATATATATATATTATTTATAATAATTATATTGTATATATATATATATATATATATATATATGTATATAATGAATAATAAATATAATATAATATGATATTAGAATAAATATAACAAGAGATTTTAATTTATGTTATATAATAATATCTTATGTTTAGACAATTGTAACGCATCGATTAATTATCGTCTTGACATTGTAGCACGAGGACAAGTCTTTCTTACGTATGAATTGTGAACTCAATTAATAAAGTCTTAAATTACTCACTGCCTTTCATCAAAGAATTCTTTGTAAATATCAAATTCGGCGAAAGAATGTTATATTATTGGTCTTGATATTCCATTAAAATTATATCATAGAAAATAATTTATTCGATTACTTTTATCACGTTATTTTGAAAATTTTATTCTCTTTAAAATAATATTCAAAAGTTTTTACACGTAACTTCGATATACCTATGTATTGATAATATATATGTATATAAGTATTTATATATATATATATATATATATATATATATATATATATATATATATGTACATTCTAATGTAAGATTTTTATGGCACATTTGCGATAAACAGACAGATTATATATGACGTATGTTCTTAAAAAAAAAGGAATAGAATAAATCGTAAAAAAGAAAAAAAAAAGAAAAGAGATATATATATAATACTATCTATAAGCTATTACGTAAAAGTACAATTTTGTTTACTCTTTTATATTTTTATTTAAGATATTCAATAAAAAGAAAAGAAAATTTCTTCACACACACACACACACACATTAAATTACGCATTAAATATATTTATGTTATAATTTTACAATTATTGTTGTAATTACTTAATAAATAATAAACAAAAAAAAAAACAAATATAATCGATAAATTGTTACAATGAAAAACAATTTATGTATATAATATATTTAATTAGCATTGATTTGATTTTTTTTTTTTTTTTTATTAAAAATTCACATATGAGATAACAATATTTTACTGATTATTTATTAAATACTGAAAAAAAAAAGAAAATATTGTTATAATTTTCTTTATTTTAATTAAATAAAAAACTTAATTGTTGCAAACACATATGTATGCATCGTTTTACATATAGAATTATATTAAATTTTATTATAATTGCAATATTACGACAAATAATGTAATTTAAAAATTATAAATGAACATCCATTGATCGGCCATTTGCAATTTACTGTAGTATATATATATACATACACATTCGA